TCTCTGTCTCTTTTTCCTCTCGCCGTAAATTACAGACGAGGTGAGGAATTTCGCACGTCAGCCACCTCTTAATAACAATCTCTCTCGACTACTACGGCAGCCTTACTAGCGTCTCGAAGAATTCACCATTTACTTGGGTAACAGGAGGAAACGAGGAGGGGAAGTCAGATTTAATCGGCAGTAATTTCGTTCGCCGTTAAACTCGCTGCTGCGCCGAATCGTTGACGGCCACGGACACCCCACATATAAACTTTCGAGCTACGAAACCAACTTGATTCTGCCGCGCATGATATTATCGCGACGTCGTTCGCCTATCTTCTCTATTAAGGAAAATTCTCGCTCATATTTAATCTCTCATCTTCTTCAAGGCGATAAAATAACAAGAACGGCGAGACACTTCAATTTCTCGATCTTGATAAAGAAGCTCGAATCTTCAAACTTTATTTAAAGACTTCAGGTAGAAAGCTTTTGCTCCTCTACTTGAATGCTCTCGAAGAATAAGGTAGACAATGGACGACGGTTACTTTCAAGGTCGGCGTAGCCTGAAATTCGCTCTATTTGCCATGGAACGCGGCTATCTTTATCCGCCGTGGTTGGAACCGGTGTACCGACAAAGGCCGACGAATATAGCCGGTTTTGACACGGCGAGATGTTAATTCGAAACACACGCGACTACGATGACGATATACCGAGCCAAGTTTCTGAACTCGCTATGTAGCCCTTCGCGATCGCGTCACTCTAGTGATGGTTAAAAATATATCATTTTATGTACAAGAGAGAGAAAGAGAGAGAGAGGGGGGGGGAAGAAAGTGATATAGATGGCACGTGTATGCTACAAGATATTTTAGCGAATTTATCAAACTAAAATCGATTTTATCTATAATTACGGAGACGTACGGCGTAAAATTACGAGCGGTCAACGAACGGCGCGCGTGATGAGCAATCCATCGATCAAATTCTGCAACGTGCCGGTCGGCCGGTTAATTTCGGCAGCAGGCCGCGGCGGGCGCGTGCCGGCGTTTATTTTCACAGAGAGTCGGAAATAGCCGGCGGCAAAGCATGCGCTCCACCCGATATTATAATAGCGATGACTGGGACGGTAGACGCGACAGTCCGCGGGCGAGTAAGTGACGTTCCGCCGCGCGAGAATGGGAGATGAGTAACGTTACCTCTCGGCCGCTGTCCCTCGTTGTCCGGCGCAAGGAAAGCTGCAGTTTCGCGTTTTCCTGCGGTCGCACTGTTCTCAGAGTCGTGAAAAACTAAAACGTGCGTTCGCCGAGAGTTTGCCTTCAATCGTGTCGCAGGTGTGCGAATATTATTCGGGTCGTCGATCTTGTGGAATTATATATTAATATTATGAATATTAATACATATATTAATTACAATAACAATTTTAATAGTTAATTTGAGGTTTTCTATTATATACAAACAATAATTATTACTTGTATCTGAAACAACTGTTAAGTTTATATGAAAAATGCAAATGTTTCTATTTACAGATTTATTTTCGAAATTGGCGAATTTAATCATAATAAAAACGTGCGGTATTCACGATATCGACATTGATAGTTGTCGTCCAACAGTGCACGTGCGTCACGTAAAATGCAGCGTGGATTTATGTAATTCCGCGATAAGAAGCAAAAATCGTAGTTGCACGCGAAGTATAAGCAACGGTGGCCAATGTGAATTATGTAAAACGCATAAATCTGTCCGTCGTCTGTAATAAATCACCTAGTCAAACGTCAGTGAAGCAACACCTGCTTGCTATTGAAATTATTCGAGCACACGGCAGACATTCGTATAATCGGATCGAGCGAAACGGAAGTGCGTCTTGCAAATGGGTGCACAAGTTAATGTTGTTAATTTCTACGCGAGCGTCAGGATGGTCTCGAAAAGGTCCACGTATGATGCAGATCAATGATTGTCAGCATGGTCAACCCGCGGACCCGGAAAATGGTAATTAACGAAAATGGTTTCAGATTACGACGCACTTGGTTGAACACTTGCGCGGACGTTTAACATGATTTATGACGAACGTAAACCCTTTGACGATTCTGGAACACGCTCGTTTATCGTTATCGCGACTTCCGTCGTGCGGCTGCTTAGAGCCACTCAAGGAAAGAGCGATTTAAAAAGGAAATGTTTAATTCTAATTTAAAAAGGAAATATTTAATTCTTTAGTTCTACTGATTACAGAACAGGGTTAATGTTAACATCATTAAAATTAGTATCACATTATGAATTTATTATAAATGTATATTTGGAAAGTAATATGGAATGATACAAGAACATGCGATTTTATATTAGCATAATTCGTAAAAACAAAGTTGCACTTTCATAAACAGAGTGTTTTAATTCAGAAGAAGCGCAATCAATGATATCCAAATTATAGATGATAATTTTTGAATTAATCTGAATTACGATAGATACATACGAATTATAGCAACGCAAAACAAGTGGACTTAATCGACGATGGTAACGAATTGTCAAACAAGTCCGATAAGCGCAGCGCAGCTGGTACCGCGTTGTGCAGTGCGTGAAAGTACGGACCCCCGCGCTGTCATCCTCCTCGCTTCATACGATTAATTAGCGCTGTCGCATAATCGCGTCGCTAATCGCCGGCTAATTCTCGCGCGGACATAATTGCCACGGCGCATCGTTGATGGGCTACTCTTGTATCGACGAGCGCGTCGTTGACGAGTACACGGCTCGTTACTGCAGCGATGCTGCGTCGGGGGGTTTAAAGGACAGAGGAGGAGAAGGGTGGCTCAACAGAATAGCATAATTCCAACACGATTAATTCGCGATCACCGCAATATGCATCGAGTATCGCATTGCGTGCGTCAAATTTGTGCGCGGCGCGGCGGATTGTCTCGATACGCGCGGCCGGTGCAGGCGGATCGGAATGCATCCAGGGGTGCATTCCGATTTATGTGTGCGCGTGCAAGAGAGATAGAGAAGGAGGGAGAAAGGTAGAGAGAGAGAGAGAGAGAGAGAGAGAATGTAGAGGCACGGATCCTTTCGCCTTCCGTACCATCCGTTTGTGTTGCAACACGATTGGAATGGCATGTACGCGGATGGATAATTGCGATGATGATCGACTCACATGCGAGGCCTTTAACGTTGTATTGAACGAGATGTATCCTAAAAAATCTCCAACATGCCGATGTTATTGAAAATTATGATGGCTTTGCGCCGATAGTTCCAGACCGACGTCATAGTGATATCAGTGATATCGGAAAGAATCGATCGTTACACCTTTCATTTTGTAGTTGCGTAGTGACCTTGATATCTGGATTCTAGGGCGAGGCTAGATCTTTTAACTTGTTGATATTTGAAAAAATTTTAATGCGATTGAAATAATACGCAACTATATTATACAAGATATAATGAGAGATTAGCAATGTCAATCGTGTGACTATTGATATCATTATGATGTTACTCATATCTCAACTACGATAACGTCGGATAAATTTATCAATCTGCGTTATTTAGCTTAAGGCAGTTTGCTGAATCGTAATTGCAACGTACACGAATGTAAATGTAACGCGCTGATACATCCGGGGATACGCAATGCGTCGTACTGCGGGAACATGTTTCTAGCATATTATCCTACGGCTTAGTCGGCTTTTGATCCGATTAAAATGGTTTTGCACTCCAATGGATCATGCATAATTGCATTGCGCGATAGCGCACGTGAAGGACCTTTGGTGGCTGCTCTTCTAAAGGAAATCCGTGCTATTTCATTAGGCGTACAATCGCTTGGAAATCACGTTATACGTACTACATAAGTTTTTCTGCGCTGCTAATATAATTAGCTCGTAACTCAACCAGTATTTGCTATACGCAAAAATGTTCTTCGCGATACATTCTCGTGCATGAATTTGCGCGGAGGCTTTCTTAAAGTTATTTTCTTTTTTGTCTGTGATATATGATACAATTTAGTTTTAACTGTTTTTATTTAGTTTAGCTTATTTTAGTGTACTTTTTGCGCGATATAAGAACGCGACATTAGCCATGACGCGACCGATTTTCTTTAATTATCTCATCGTTATGGAATATTAAAACGGTGTCACACGCTAACGTTGCCCAAAGTTAATTGGACGACGGGCTCTTTTAGTACGCTCGAGTTCCGGTAACGAACTTCTTTGCCAGCCGAACACCACGCCTCTCAGAATTTTTTCCACGTGCGATGAAAACTTATAACGAGATAAAGTTTGCATGGAATTAATTAATAAATAAGCGTTTCTGAAACTCGAAACTCCATTTGTCTGAACCTGTCTCTCCGATCGCCTGTAACTCCAAGATATCGAAGTCGCGAGATATTTGACTAACTGTTGACTGGATGGTTGAAAAAATTATTCTAATTTTCTTTAAGACATACCGCTTCTGTTTACCAAACGGTTTTCATCGTGCTGCACGCGACATAAACAAAATGCATTCTTCAGCAAAAAAATATAGAAATATAGTGTTTCGATATACGACGCGCGTCAGCTGGTGTCGAGACTGTCGAGAGCTTAAATGATGCTCCTTTGTCCTTGCGTAACTGACCGCCATCGATCGGGACACTACACGACCTAATCTGCTCTCACATGAGGTCTCAGAATCAATTAACCACTTAACTCCCTTCTGGCGTACAGAGCCCTTAAGTTTCCCGCGCAATTAAATTTATGAATTACACTATTTTATTAAAATTATGAGTTTTGCATCATCTCGCGCACGACGTCGTCATTAACTCTTAACTCTCGCAAGAAGACGTCTGCTTTTCTACAAGTCAGTAAATTTCTTCTGAATCCTATACAATCTGCGTAATGCTTAAGTATCCCTTGTAACTTTTTGCTAATTCTGACTTTGTTTTAGAAATTTAAAACTCCCCAAGTAAAGTTAAACAAAACTTATATCGGAAGTGTATTTTATTTACGTATTATAGTTTGTATAGGAAGTTACAGAGAGAGAGAAAGAATGAAGATAATACTAAGTGCGCGTGTTTGTGCTTTTAGGTGAACGGCGACGATGAGTGGGACTACGAGGACATCATTTTGGAGCGGGGCGGGGCGGGCCTAGGTTTCAGTATCGCCGGCGGCACGGACAATCCCCATTATGGCAACGACACCGCCATTTACATCACTAAGCTCATACCGGGCGGTGCCGCGTCCGCGGACGGCCGGCTGCGTGTCAACGACACGATACTGCAGGTGAACGACGTGTCCGTTGTCGACGTACCGCATGCAGCCGCCGTAGACGCGCTCAAGCGGGCCGGCAACACCGTCAAACTGGTAAGCTTTATCCTCCACCCTCCAACCTTGGTGCACCGATACGGGCGCATATACAATGTTACTTGTCCCTATCACGGCAGTTCGCTTTGTTGCTTTGGCGAACCCTTACAAGCGTTCAATATCAAGAGGTAATTCAATACAATGTACATCCTTGTTGACGAGATAGTTTCTTAAAAGTTATCAATTGTTTGAAGAAATATGAATACTTTCGCGATTCGCTATGAAAAACAAAGCATGCCTCAATCAGTTACAATCCGTCTATAAATAGTGATATCCGGATTAAAATATCGAAAGGGAGGATAAGCTATACTTGAGTAACTAATGATTAATGTTAATTGACGCATTAAAGATGCTGCGCACGGTACCTGTGCAAACTGACGCATGCAAATCTCAAATCCAAATTTAATTGAATCATCCCATGGTGCAATGGCAACACATTGTTACTGTGATCACATGCCATATCATATGCACATCTCAAGTGCGCAAATTTAATTGCGCGACGAATGTGTCAGGAATAATTGAATTGCAAATGCTGTAATGCGTATGCTTTCTACTGTTAAACTCACCCCGCGAATACATATTCAACTTCTCAGCCACCTGCCGATAGTTACTAACTGATTGCTTAATTAACTGTATAGGCATTATCGCGTAATCGGTATATTATCACAGCTTGCTTAATATATGCATTTCAATTCGTCGAATATCAAAAGATATCGAGACGATATTTTGCGCATCATTTGTCCGGCTTATTAACTCTAAATCGATATCATTTTAATCGCTCTCGTACGTCGTTATTATTCGTTCTCCGTTATGTTGTTTGCCTCAAGCTTTTTCGTTCCGTTTTTTCATCGAAGTACCTACGATTTTTTTTTAATTTTACGACATTTCAAGTCCCAGAAAGTTCCGCGGGATTGACGGCCTTCTCCGGATTCTATATTTGTCATAAAGACACGCGTCGAATATCTTCGGCTTATACCTGAGGAAAGTCCCGAAGCGACGATCACTCACCCGGGCCTATCGAGATTCCTGTAGCCTAGCAAAGTCGCCGAAGGATGAGGGAAAGTTTCGATGTGATCGTTCGTTACATGCCTCTCGGGTATACGTTAATGTCACTCTCCGAAAAAAAATCCCCAAGCGGACTCCCGCTGTAGCTCCTTTTTCGACGGAAGAAGGCCGATATGTTGGTTCGACGTAAAAATCGAAGATATTGATCGTAAATTATTTCAGAAGCAACAACTTTCTCGATGACCGCCGGAAATTTTGGAGGTACTTGAGAGGTTGCACGAGCCAACATCCGCGCGTTATTAACTCTCCCAGGCTAGAAGTGACGATGAGGAAAAGCATAAAAGCATTTACGGCCGGGCCATTCTAGACATTATTCTGACATAAAGTCGCTACTATCCCTCGTTGCACATAAACGCATCTTTAGTACAGAAATATGGCCGTCGTAAGCAAATTTGATTTGCAATCTCGATTTATGGATGATTTGCAATTAAATTTAGTTCGAGATTGAGTGAATTACTGTATCAAATGTGAAATTTTCATCTCCGATACAGATCGTTATATTACATTTACTTAAATTAATACAATTTAGATATGCTCACGTAATCAAAATAATTGATTGATATATATTATATAACATTAAATGCATTTGTTAAAAATTAAACTATTCTCATTTACATATAATTGTTTTATGTATGATGGAATCAATGATTATAAATAAAATAAGAGGAAAGGTATTTTTTGTATATTTCAATTTTAATACGTATTTTAATTGTTTACGTCATGATAAAATGTATTAATCGGCAATCGAAACATCTGCCAGTGCTTTCCCCATGCGGAGTTTAATTAACGTACCGAGCCACCTTAGCGGCGATATAAACGGGCTTTTAAGGTGAATGGCGCCGAACAGGAACAAATCCACTTTATAAATCTCACTGAGTAAACGAGAGTAGTTTGAAAGGAGATATATCTCTCCGATCAGCTATCGGGCGGGCATTTAATTACGTGGAGATTCATTGTTATACCGGGAATGAGAGAGCGCCCCGCGAAGTTTTCTTTTTTAAACGCCTCTCAGATGAAAGCGACGTCGTTTAAAATTTGAACTTCGTAGAATTTACTCGTTAATCGGCCATCCGCGATGCCTCCCGACCCTCCCTTCTTCACACCCTCCACCCACGCTCAATTAACGTCATGTTCGCACATCGATTTTCAGTATGTACGCCGACGGAAACACACGCAGTTGATGGAAATCGAGCTGATCAAGGGAAACAAGGGCCTTGGGTTCAGCATCGCCGGCGGTATCGGCAATCAACATATACCAGGTGACAATGGAATCTACGTGACTAAAATCATGGACGGTGGGGCCGCCCAGGTGGACGGTCGCCTCGTCGTCGGCGATAAATTGGTAGCCGTCAGGAACGCTTTGGTAAGCAAACATACATACCAAGCCGCTTGTCTTACACGTCGTGTTTGTTTCGCCGAAAAGTTTCGACAGAAATATTAATATTTTTCTCTTTTCCTCTCTCCCTTCTCTCTTTTTCTTGCGGGTCATATATTAATATAAAACACTATAAATATACAAAATACGCGTTGGATTACAAGAAATGTTTCGAGGTTGTAAACGCGTCTACACGTCGAAAACGTTATTTTTTTTTAATTGAAAAATAGCACGTGTTTATAGAAAAATAAAGTTGCGATCATGTTTCATTCTAAGATCAATTGCGAAACCGTTTTTTCACCGATATTCTTTTTTTCTCTTTAATTTTTTTTCTACAAAAGTTGAAGAGATAAATGTAGAGAAATAGATCTCACTTTTTGACTTCTGCAAAACTGACCATGATTATATCCCAATAATTATTTTGAAAATGAGGCCGATTATTTCAGAATGACTTACGTGTTATTTGTAAAATTGCTATTGAAAGAATCAATATATTATGTTAAGTGGAATAAAATAGTACGCTATGTTACACGAATAAAACGTGAACTGCGAGAAAGTTTCGGCACATTGTCGTAAACTGAGATAATTTTCATGTCGAAAGTTTAATCAAATGCCGATCTCACAAAGGAGATCTCATCCTTAAGCTTTAAAATTTTATAGTAACGATAAATGGAACTCATGATAGGTGTTTCATGGGATCACAAGAAATATCGAGAATATACCTATAAAGATAAGACTTTTGACTGCCACTTCGATGAAGTTTGAATATCTCATCGTGAATCTTCTATCGATTTCAGAATATAAGTAGTTTAAAACAAAAATAGAAGAATGTTCTTCGTTTCAAAGGTGTAAAAAAATTTGCGATCGGAGGACGCACATATAAATCGTCGTGAAAAAACGAATTGTGGCATCTACGCTCGAGCGAGTCTGGAGAGAGGAAGAGAACCATTTCGAGTTTTATAATTACTCCCGAAAACTTCGAGCGTACGCGCGCCAAAACTAATTACCGTACGATCAATAATTACTTCGCCACGCGGGAGAATAAAACGTAGGCAGCAAGAAAGTTCCGGGACACTGTCGTAAACAAGTAAATTTCTGTGCCGAAAATTTAATTGAGTCTCGATTCGCCCTCTCCGTTCCTTCTCCATTATAAATTTTAAAATTTTATAATCCGATGAAAGGAATTTGTGACACGCATTCTATGGGAATGTTAAAAATATTAAAAGTGTTTTTGACAACCCCAAAGAACGTGCCACGAGTTTCTTTCACCGAATTATAAAATTTTAAATTTAAAATTAAAGAGATTCCTCTTCTCTCATTCCCTCCTTCTTTAGAAGTCATGCCTTACAACGATATAATAAACGCTTCTGTCTCTTTTTCTTTCTCTTTCAAAAAAGTGAGTGAATCAGAACTCGATTAAGCTTTTAAAATTAAATTATAAAAATAGGTATAAAAATTTCTCTAGTGTTTTTTTAGCAGTTTTTTTTAGGCGGTAACATAATTTAAAATTTTCTGTCTTATTGTTAATTTTGTTAAAAATTAAAGATGATTGTCTCAAGATTTTAATGCCTTATTTTTTTGCTTATTTGCAATAAATAATCCGTAAATAAGTTTACAAGCCGGAAAATCGACGCTCGAATCTCGATTAGCTTCACGATCGACCATCCTAGAAAAGTAACAAAAGCACACTTTTTAACGCACTTTTATGCCGTATAAAGAGAGAAAGAGAAAGCGCCTTTTCATCGTATGCGCGCATTCTACACTTCACCCTTCGACGACAGTCATAAATCTAGCCGGCTATTCGGCTTTAATCGGTACTTTTTTGGCGCGACTCCCAGATAGGTGCCTTAAAGGTGGTGAAATCGCTGAAGCGAAAAATCGTAGACTAGCGAAGGTCGACTTACCGTCGACTGGAGCTGTATATTGGTGACGGAAGAGTTATCAATTACTTCGACGGCGCGGCGCTTTGGAAAACCGTCCTAATCTATTTTTCCTATCCGCTCGGATTTATGGGGAATGAGGATGATTTGATCTCACCAATTACTTTACTGCTTAAAAATATGAACTTTGTTCAACCTTATTCTTTAATTATCGCGTAATATATATCGCATCTCGAAGTCTGTCAGAAGTAAAAAAATTACGATTTTAGGGGAGGGAAAAAACAAATTTCATTTCATTTTTTAAATTATGAGATAACTAACCCAATTACAGTTAAGTATGACATCTTGTTACAATGAAACTTATGCCGTTTCTTGAAGAGGTCTGCTATGATTCATTTGTCAATTCGCTTATGACACTATACATCACAGGAAACCGCAACATAACCGGTTTAAAAGAATGACACTTTCGCTTCGTGCAGCAGATTTCACATATTGAATTATGACACTATTATAGCACATAGGTATATAATATTCTAGGTATACTTTTTATGGGTTTAATTCAAAATCGAAATTTTTTAAGTTTTTTGTGACAGTATTTCTTCTGGAGGTGCGATATGTGTGTACATTCGTTAATATTTTTTCTTTACGGAGAGTTGGCAATTACGTTGACTTAATTAAATTATTTGAAATTTTATACATTACTATACATTAAAATAAAGAAAAATAAAATTTTAATGATTGTAGTGTGATATTTATATTAATTCTTAATTTATTACATTGATAAAAATTAAATTTTATTACAATTAAGATATATTATATTTATTGCTATTTAATTTAAAGCGATGCAAGCATTCATGAACGGATTAAGGGTCCACTGGGGTATATCACGCTACAATTTCTATGTTGGTCTCTCAAATGCGCGTCAGTTCGATAATAATCGCGATTGTCTCTTAGTGCCTTAAGGAAGACAATCGCAGTGGGCGAACAAGGGGGGAAACGGAAGGAGATAGGAGTAGACCACGGTTGACAGGGGAAATTGAATGGGGAAAATCAATTATCGAAGGCTCGTGACATCGTGATCGAATCGTTTGTATGCGCCGCGACTATGCCAAGTTTGTGTTTCAGAAACAGTCTCTTTTCTTAAGAGAGAAAAGGATTGGTTGATAAATAGAAAGAAAAAAGGAACATTTCTCAAATAATAATATCCGCATGGGAAATGAATGAAAAACGTGCGGAGAATTAATGTACCAGACATAATCATAAAAATGTATCTCATTTTCATATTACATTTGTATCTTGTTCAACATTTTTTGATATAATTTTATGCATGGATGTAAACCACAGTTTACAAGTACATGTCGTAAAATATATGTCGGCGACATAACGTATTAAATTTTGGTCTACGAAGAAAGAAGTATTTTGGCAATGTTTCAAATAATTGTCTTTGATCGTCGACGAGTCAATGTTAAGTGCACATTATCAAAAAAGAGCACATATTGGTTTCAGCAGGGCGATAAAAATCTGGAGAATGTGACACACGAAGAAGCAGTGGCGACCCTGAAGGCGACCCAAGATCGCGTTGTACTTCTAGTTTCCAAGACGGAAAGTGGAATCATCCCCCCGCCTCCTCCACCAATAGCAACGGACAATTCTCTTTCGCCTCAGCCACGTGAGTCATTAAGTTTCCTAAATTTTTTACGTACATTATTTAAATCGGAATACCACGAAAAAATAAATAATAGATAATAATTTTATAATTAGTGTTCTATTTAAAATTTAATTACATTTTGGATTACATCAAACAGATCTCATAGGTAAAATATATTTTAATTTATATACTCTCCTAAGATATTTATATTTCAAAATTTACTGATTTTTTTTATAATAATTCTTATTGTTAGACAACACGTTCAAGATGGAGCGTAATATAAAACGTGAAGACAATCTCGTTGACTATCAATCAAGCAACGAAATAAAATCGTAGGTTTCACGCTGCGATTTTATTTCATCGTCCGTGATTTACGCGACAAGGACGGCTGAACATTCGCGCCGTGCGCGTTTTAATAATCGACTCTCCGCAAGAAACGCCGGCTCCACTTTCGTCGTCGCACCTAACCGTATTTTTCGTCGCCACTTTTCCATCGCGAGATCTCGATCGAAATAATAATTACGGTATCCTATATATATTAATTATTCAAAGCCATCTGCCCGACGGGTTGAAATTCAAATCAACCGTGCCTCCCGTATAACCCCTCCGCTGGCTGAAAATAAACGCGAACGAATCCCCGCGATTTCCGCGCATCGAGAGGTGCGGAAATGAATTTTTGATCCGCGGGTCTTCCCCCATCAGCCGGACTTTTACTGACGATCGGACCGTAACTTATTCATCAGTCTCATAAAACGGAGCTCGTAAAGTTCATCCCGAAACGCACGCGAGCGGTCTTATCTCCCTTTCTCCGTTTATCGCGTATGTTATGAATGCGGCACACCGCGCGTCGAAAACGTTCGATCGAGAAAATCTTGAGAGTGCAACGTTAAAATTTCATACCACGGGAAAAGGACGATGTTTCTTCGATTTCGCTAGTGAATTAACGAAGTTACTTTAAGTATTCGTGCGTAAAATTGACGAACGTATATGTAGAGAGATTGATTGTTATTGTAAAACAGTAGCGTTTCTCTTTATGTGAAAGGTGAAAGACCGCTTCTCGAGATATTAAAGACATGTCGAGCTTTGCGCCGTGGTTGTATCTTTATTCTACAGCAATATCGCTATATTTATTTTTCTTCAAACGGGAAAAAACAGTCCAGTACAAGCGCTATAGTTCGCCCAACCTCGATGTGAGCGGGAAAAAGCGGACTCGACGGCGGCGGTTTTATGCCGACTGAATTCAAATTGCCCCTTTAATGCTGCGGCATATCGGTGCCCCGCGGGATTATCCGAATATTTGCTTTAATCTCCAGGCGCAACCGGGAGTTTCTCGGAGAAGCCATCTCGACGCGAATAAACAAGTCTGTTCTAGATTGAGATCGCTATTTTCTATCTCGATCTATGCTTTTTATGCTATTTTTTGCGCAATACTTGTAGGAAGATAAAATTTTAGCGCGTAATATAATATTGTAATGACGATAATAACAAATTACTCATGTATACATATAATTTATTATTAATCATGTTTAAAATTAATTTAATATTATATTACATTAATACTGTTATATATTAAATTAATTTAATATTGCATTATATTTAGGAACGAAACTATTATTTTTTACTAATTTGTCAGTAGTTACTATAATTTGCGATTACGTTTTACTTCCATTTTTGTTTGTATCAAATAATATTATTTTTTTTACAATCGTTAAATGTATAATATCCTTAGAGACATGGTTTTAAACTAATTATTATTAATAAAAATTATTCTATCGCAGAAATAAAGACAAGCACATATGTCAGCGAATGTTTAGTATCGAACAAATTTGATATTCGTGAAATACAACGAAGAATGTAGTATCAGAAATAGAAAACGTTGGCGGGATCTGTTGATGATTTTCCGCACATATACTAACTGACCCTAATTTTTTGTTTGCTACTAGGTAAACAAAACGGCTCCGTGTCTGCGATGGAAAACAACACTGCGGCTCTACCGTACTCGCAAGAATCTCGCCACGCGTCTTCTCTTGCTCTGCACGGCACCGGGACACCGCGAGCAGTTTCTCAAGAGGATGTCTCACGGTGAGTCTCTCTCTCTCTCGTCTTTTACTATTTTTTGTGAGACCCCACGCGAGTTGACCGCTTTTGGTCAGCATCTAGAAGTCCTTTTACGAAAATTGCGGCGCAGCATATCCGCCACCGTTCCTCTCTCGCAACCATAAAACAGGGCTCGTTCGCCAGTCACGTCCGATACTTTCGGGATGCACCGAGCTCGCCCTCTCTCGTTCGTTTTATACGCTGTTTTCTCGATAATAACGAGAGTCTGTAAATTCAAAAACGTAAATGCGCCGAAGAAATAGACCATTTGTCTTGTGTTTCCGTCGGCTATTTATCGAACTGGCCCGTTGATCATTCGTGCAAAACGTGGTACTAATTTCAAAAGCAAACCGAGTGAAACGGATAAACTGTATCGGACGAATGTTTCCGAGAGGTCGACGAGCAACATGAATCGGTGGAGGGTAAAGAGCTTGCGGTAGGACCGGTGCGCACGAGAGCTAATTGCCGATAGATTAAGGGCTTATCGAATTGGCCGGACTATGCCATGAAGGTGGGATTGGTCCGGACACATTATGTACCTCTGCTGGAGGCTTACTCACGCCAGTTCGGCTGCTCCTATTGACCTGTCCCTTCGTGGTTAACCCCTCTCGAATACTACTGCGCGCACGAGGCTCCAACATTGCCATGTACCCGGGACTGTCCGGGTTAAGGTCGTCACTGAACATCGCACGAGCGGAATAGAGGATTAGACGAAGCGGGAACGAACTTACTTAGATCGTTATCAAATTATCTCTCTTTCAGAAATCTTGCGTTGCATTCTGATGAATCATTTCCTCACACATATCTTAAATTCTTTACGCTTGTGTTTATCCAGTTTTATCTTTTTATATCGCCTTGTTTTATTTTAGTGTATTTTTACGATATTTTTTTTAACATAATTAAAGAGGATTTATTCACCTAATTTTAATATGATAGCAAAATGGCAAAAGTTGATAAAGTTTAATTTTACCATAAAATCTATTTTTAGAAGAACAATTTTTTTAAGTAATATATAAAATTATTTTCTTCTGTAAACATATATCTATGCAATAGTTTTTAAGTAATTAGCAGTAATTAAAGATCTTTTCATAAATCAGATTTTAATAGATTAGCAAATACTAGACTACAAACTATATCTTGTAATAAATTTTAAATAAACTTTGTTTTCACATATTTTGAATTTAGGGCTTAATTATGAAGATATATAACGCGTTAAAGATAGGTAAGCTGTGAAAAATAATGAAAAGTCAAAGTTGCATCAAGAATTCTTTTTTAAAAGTTTTTACGATGATGGAGGAACATTCTGTAGAGAAGTTACATCTACACAACGTTTTATTTTTACGTGAAAAATTACTTGCACATTTTTTTCTTATTTTCGCGATTGATTCGATATATCCCTTAATTTTGTTGAAGAGAATGTAATATATTGAATTATCCGCCTGAATCTTGAAAACGTCGCATTTATTTTGGAATATTACATAGCAACGAGGAGATTTTGTTTCTATGACGCACACAATAAATCCAATTTAATCTACCCTAATCTTCTATTTGCTCAAAGGATCTCATTGATGAGAGTGAGATCTATGAGACATAGAAAATTTAACTTCGATTGAGAGAAAGAGACTTTAAAGTAGCGTGCGAGGAACTAATTGTAATCTTGATTACTATTCCTACCGGACTACTGGAAGTTATTCCACAGTTAAACATTACCATGAATGGAATATTTCATTAAGCCGACCAGCCGCCGCGCCGCGAAAATTTCGCGCACCTGTGCGCCGCCGACTCGGTATCCATTTATACAGTTTTCCGAGCTGCATATAGACTCTGCCACTCGCGTTATTTTCTGAATACGAATCTCATTCAGCGAATCTCATTTCTTCTCTGCTTTTCATTTACTAATTAATGATTATGTGATAACGCCTATGCACAATAATTATTGAAAAAGCACCCGCTGTTTGTCACGTTTATTTAACGTCAAATTTAACAAGCTTGAAAAGGCAATGTTAAAATAACAAAGTATAAATATATAAAAATGGAATGTATACATTATATATATATATTTTTTTTTATTTATATATATTCACACCGAAGAGGGGAAAATATCACGAAAGAAACAAAGCTCGCTCGTACTCGGCGGACTGTAATTTTTATCTCGTTTGATTGGAACAATTCCGGGCGTTGATTGGCGAACTCGTCTTTGTTTTCCGCGGCTTCGTATGACGTGTACGCGTTGCGGTTCGAAAAGTTCTCCGCGAGTAAATTTCTTGCTCGCTTTTTCATTCGCATAGTTCGTCAAACACGTCTCGTCGATACTACCGCGCCGAGTGCGCCGAATGCGCCGCAAAATGCAGATGCATTTTTGTTGCGCAGTGCTCCGTATCGCGACGGATGCTCGCGACACGTCCGCAAATGTGCGTTTTTAATTACTCGAGCGTGTCCGAGGATGCCGCATTCAGTTGCCTATAGTTACATAGGTCGTAAATACATCATAAAAGCTTCAACGTAATTTATTGATGCCCAAGTGCCGTATTTATTTGTGCCATATATTTCTGAAATTAATCACAAGTCCACGCAATTTATTCCACATTTTTTGTAATACTCGCTCAAGGATTCGTTTAATCTTTTGAATTTTTCATTAATCACGACTTTCTCAATGCAAATGATATTATAATTAGTGTAATACCATTCCCTGGCGGTATATAATCTGCCGCATCATGTATATGCACGCGAGCGGATACATTCGGGTGTGGATGTAGCGCCACGCGCGCAGCTGCATCTCCGAAATACGGGCCAAGGTCACAGCTGGCCCGGGTCACGAACGAGCTACCGGATCCGACCAATCTCGCTTACGTGATGCAGCATCCTCTCTGCATCGATCCGAATGCGTCCCACTGCATCTTCGCCAAATACTGCCGAATTCTCATCGTTACGATACTTCTTGTATCAGCAAGAAATTTATTACGAAATTTAACATGTTTGAACAACCGAGGATTAGGCTATTCTAAATGACAAAAAATCAATTTGAGGGGAACCGAAAGAAACATTCGCTAAGTTCTTCAATTCGAACAAATAACTGACGATTTGTTTATCGCGATGCCATAACGTTATAACGTCTTAATTATCATGAATAAGCTCGCATAACTTTTTGAGTCTGCTAAAGTTCCTGAGTTTCAAAGAGAGAAAGACTCCGTCGCTACTCTTGAGAATTATCATACCATTTTTATTTTGTGACGCCTCCTGAGTACGCGACGTGTTATGACTTATCACGAGCGCTTTGCTCGGTAGCTTTTGATGGTCAACATAGAACTCCTTCATCCGGTTCATTGTGTCGCGCCCTCGTATGTGACGGCGCAAATTTAATTTCTTCTGTGGCTCTTGTCCCGTCGGACATCCTGGCCGGAGATGTCCGGTCCAGGGCTAGGAAACTCGTCGTCCTCCCGTGAACAATAGTGCTCTAGGTGCGAGAAGGATGTCACGAAAAATTTGTTCAACAATTTCGTATTCAACCGGAAATACCGACTGTACGAATGCAAAAACTTCACGAATTAGGCGTGTTCTTTTAATACAGGAATAAATTATTATTATTATTATTGCAAGTAAATATTAACGCGCATTAAACATTCAGAGAAGATTTTTTCATACTTTATTTTTATATAAATTTATACTTTTTGAGTTTTTTTATATTTTGGCTAATATATAACTTTAGATATTATAATTTTATTAGAAGCAGTATATAGAGCAATTTTTGCTGTCAATTTTACCATTTCAAGTTAGTTTTAGTGCTTCAAGATATCTATTTCTTTATCTCTATTCAAATTATATATTCTTCACTTTTCTATATTTTTCGTCTCTTCATTTCTATGTACTTTTATAGTCTTTATAGTATTTTGCGAAATTCGCAATACTATTCTATTCTATTTTATTCTGCTTTTTTTTATATATATTATAAAACGAGAATCTGCTTTCTGAAGATTTTTTTATTTGTTTTGTGAATAAATATTATTTTATCGTAAAATTATAACGTTGCCGCGCGAACTTGTGGAACAATGCGATGCGGATAATCCTCTCTTAACTTATTTATGGACATTTTAACGTTTCAATGCATGGGCTCTCCGCAAATTTTGCACTTCGGCAATGCGTGACGATGCTTATCGGAAGCCGGAAGCATGTGAACTAAAGCGCGGATAAAGAACGCTCTTGTGCTGAACAATTTCCAGGGATGCGGCAGCTTTTGCATTGAAGAATAATGGATTCCCTGGTACGAGATGATCCCATATTATTTGGCGGGGTGGCTACACTAGCCGGGAATTTTCCATGAACTTCCCGGGGAAGTCCCTCGAATTTCCTTTCCTTTTTACCTGTTCTTTTCTTTCTCACAGACATGACACCGAGAATTGTTGCATTGTTCGCAGAACTTCCTGGATTTTTGCGAATTTTCTTGTCACACTTTTTATGCGCAGTTACCTGCGCATGTTTCCGAAAACGGTGAATATTTCCTACTTCTAATTTGCGAAACTCGACGACAGTTAAAAGGAGTTATTGTGTCTCTTTTTTCCTACATTATTCTGTGTTTCAATTCGTGGGTCGTTTAATCAGAAGTCGATAATAAATTGATTTTCGTAATTCCTTTTTTTGACATTTAACTATGTTAAATGTCAAAAAATTTTAGTGTAAAAGGACAAACTGTGCATATATTACTATTTATTTTTTTTAACTATTTTTTTATAATTCTGACATTATTTTGGCATTACATTGCTAAAATACGTTTAGTGCAATGATGAAAATGATTCTTTGTAGTAAAATTGATGCGACAATAAAATTGGCGCTTTTCGATAGTTAGTTGAACAATAGGTTAAAATTTATTTAATCCTTCTTTGTGGTAAACTGTTTCCATTGTAAAATAAATCTGTTACCATAGCACGCACAATGCCATGGTATGAGCCTTTGAACCGTGCCATCTGCAGCGAAATATGCGCTTGCTACCG